CTCCGGACTCCTCTGAAACTCTCCCACTCCCCAGCTGTTACACTGAGCAGCACATGGCGACAGGGTGGGTACCCGCTCAAACAGCATGTCCTGGAGTGGCCGGGGCAGCCCCGCTTGCACCTTCCCCTCCCCGCAGCCCGGGGGGACCTTGGATGAGAGCTGGAGAGGCTTCTCCCCCAAGCTCAGCTTTGGATTTTGCGCTTGCAGCGGTGCCTCAGCCACGGGAGAGCTTCCCGCTCCCATCCGGGACGCCACGACGCTGGGGCTGGCTCAGACCGGGCGCCCGGCTCGCCTTGCGTCCCGAGGGCTTAGGGAGGAACCGTGAGGGCCAGGGCAGGCAGGGAGCCGTCTCCCAAATCCCCCCAGCCGGCAGGTCAGGGCTGTCCCGGGTCCGAGGGACGGTGGCCGCTGTCAGCGCCGTCCCGCAGTCGCCTTCCCCAGGGAAAGGACCCCGTTTGTGCTTGTAAACTGCTGCTCCGTGGGGCGTCCCGGCATTATTCTAACTGTTTTCATGGATTTTGTTCCTGCTCCTGACTAACGGTTGCGTCCCGCACCTCGCCCCTCGTCTCTTTGGTTGCTCAGGAGAGACAGGTAGCTTTCCCTCTGGTGCAGGTATGCTCTCTTCCAACCCGGGGGGGAAGGAGGAGGCTGCAGGTGTTTCTGGAGAGGAGTCCTTCTGGTTATCGGCCTTGCGGTGGTAGGGGTGCGTCGGCTCCGCTGGGCTCACGGACAGAAATCCCTCTTGGATCGGCAACCGCTGCTGATCCGCTTGCCCTTTCCTCTCCTGCAAGTTATCAGCCTTGCCCCTCTGGAAGGGGCAGGCTCGTAAACGCCCGGAGATAAGGACCGCGAGGAAGGCGATAAAGCTGTCGGGGTTGGAAAGCCCCGGCCCCCTCCCTCGGTGCTGCCGTCCCGCGTACGTTCGGTCCTGGGCAAAAACTCTGGAAGGGGCTCCTCTGTCCGCGTTGCAGCGTGCTGGCAGCACCGAGCCCGGGTGGTCGCGGTGGAATTTTACGTGTCGGGCTTCCCCTTTGGACTCGGCTCTTCCTTACGGCATTCCGGGCGGGAAGCGCATCGCGGCCGCGTGGGCTCTGAGCGCTCGTCGCTTTGCTTTGCCCTTCCCCGCCTAAAGCTGCTCTTTTTCTTGTTTCAGCGCGCAGCAAAGGAACACCCAGACGAACAAGAAAAGAGCCATCCCCAATCAGGTACGGCCGCCGGCTCCCCGGTCCTCCCTCGTCGCGTGGGGCAGCGGTAGCGCTCCAGGATCCCGCTCGGAGCAACCCGGAGCTGCCTTTCGCAGCTCTGAAATCGGGATTCCGGTGGATCCACAAACTCCTTCCTTGAGGGGTATTTCACGCTGGGGTTGGAGCTGGGAAAGACGGAGCTCTGGCTCACCAGGAGCTCGTCTAAAAGCAGCGGGAGTCGGGACAAGCCGGGTGGGACGCGCTGCTGGAGCAGCCCCGCGCTCCGCTGCGGGGCAGGATCTGGCCTAACCGCCCGGTCCTGCCCCCGCCGCCCCAGAGCCGCCC